TTCACTGGCACAATACAAGACAAATAAGCAAGTTTGTCTGAACCCCAGTATTTAGAATTACACTTTTTAATCTTGCTTTCTGAAATTAAATATCAACCCCTGATGTTAGAGTTTAGAGAGTTATGCGGTCAGATTCTGTTCTGTTGTGTTGGTGACTCTGTTTAAGCCAATTCAAGTTTATTCCAGTTTAATACTGATGTAACTGGGCATGTCTACACGTGCATTTGATCCAGGATCAGGGTACTTGCGAATAAACGCTCTCAGACAGGCATTTACACATGCAGGGACATGGGAGAAGACTTGTTGCTCCTAGTAGCAAACTGCTGCATCTTCCTGGAGCCCTGCAGTTGGCTCCTGCTGCCACCAGAGGAAGCTTGAGGCTCAGGCTACTCATGCCAGCAGCTGGCAGCCATTTTTAAAGGCATCTCTGCTCCCTGTACCATGGCCAGCCACTTTTCTGTCCAGGAGCAGTTGTACAGAGGCCAGAGTCAGTACATGGAGGCTCTCTCGCTGCAGCCTCTGTCTCCCTGTGTCATGGCTGCTCCAGCCCCTGCCCCTGGCAGCAAAACCTAGTGCCCTGGTCTCCTGGCCACAGTGCTGGCCCTGCTGGCCTCAGCAGGCTCCTGCCACTGAGGCCCCAGGCAAGCTGCACAACTGACATCAGGGACCAGGGCACTGGGTGCAAGAGGTGCTGCCCAACCACCTCCTCCTGCACTCTCTACTGTAGCCCACCTGGACATCCGCCCATAGACACCCTGCCCCACTGCCTACCCCCCAGCACCACACTCACTGCAGACAGTTCTCAGAAAAACACTTTATTCCCTCACAACAAACAGACCCCTCCTCCACCCTTCCTTCCCCAACAACACAGCCTGTTCCCTCTCCCCCCCCAACAGAGCCCCTCCATCCCCACCCCACCTACCACCAATACAACATCCTCTTCCTCATGCAAACTATTTACAAGTGAAGTGCTGTGATTGTGTGTGCGCCCTCCCGGTGTGGGCGGCTGTGGGGCGGGGGTACCTACAGTGTAAAGCCTGGGGACAGGTGGCCAGCATCCCAGTCTCTGGCCGTTCACCCACAGGTGCACATGGAGCAGTGAGCCTGGCAGCAGGGGTCTCATCCAGGGGTGGCGGCAGCCAGTGGTCACCTGGTGTGGGTGGCTTCCCCTTCAGCAGCCAGTGTTCAGGGCCAGCACAATTGGCATGCAGTCCTGGCCCTGCTGTAGGCAGCTCTGGATCTGCACCCACATTGAGCAGGCCTGGGCCCAGGCAGGGAGGCTGGGTGGTGGGGGACCCAGGGTGTGGGCAGGGGCTTCTGGCCCATGGAGACAGTGCTTGACCTCCACCCATGCCCATGGGGGTGGGTCTGCTCCTGGGCAGTGGGCAGCTGCCAGGGAGCAGGTGGGACTAGGGTTGGGGGCCAAGAAGCAGGGGGCATGAAGGTGACTGCCAGGGCCAGCATGGTGTCCAGCACCTGGCAGTTGTCCTTCATGGCCTACACTGTCTTATCCACAACTGGACTCTGCTCCCACAGGGCCTCCATGCACTCACAATCCATGTCCAGAAGCTGCGCCCTGAACTCCCAGTCTGCTTGGTCCCACGCGTTCTCATGGGCCGTGTCCTCCACCCAGAACCTCTCGTGGTGGGCCAGGTCCTCTGCCTGACACCTGTCCTGCCAAACAATGTCCTCCACCCACCAGGCCCATGGATCTATCAGATGGTCCTCTGGTGCCATCATCAGCTGGTCCAGGAGAGGGTCCTGTCCTGGATCCTCCTCTGGCGGAGCCAGCACATCCGCAGGGCTCTGTTTGTAGGTGGCGGTGACCGTGAAGCCACATCCCAGCTGTCAACGGTGGCCTCTCCCTTGCATGCAGCTGCAGGGCCTGCAGAGCCATGAGAAAGAAGCTGTTTGTGACAGTTTACAACATTTCTGAAGTAAGATGCTCTGTACCAGGGGCTTGTGCACTGCTTGGCCTCAGATCAGGGGTCGGGCATGCACAGGTGTTGAAGGACCATGGTAAGTAAGCCAGGCAGGCCTGGGCCCAACCAGCTGCTAGCCAAGCCCTCCATCCCCGCTTTCTTCCCTGGGGTCAGTGGGGTGCTGGGTGCTGGCTGCGGGCAGCCTGCCTTCCCCACCCTGTTCCCAGGCTGGGACAGGCCAGGCTCCTGGCAGCACCTGCTGCCATAGCTCCAGACCCTGCTGCCCCCCTTCTCCTTCTGCAGGCCCACTGGTCCAAGCCCAAGGCGTCCAAGCTCAGTGGGCACAGGACTCCCAGACAAATGAGATGAGGAGCTGCCTGTGCCCCCACCCTCCCTGCAGAGGGCCTTTCTGGGGAGGCACCCCAGGGCCAGCCCCCCTTGTGCTGGCGCTGCACCCTGAGTGTGCCCTTGCTGCATGTGTCCTGGGTGCTGTGTGAAGAGCTGTTGGCACAGACCGACAGGTGCCCAACCCACTACACCCTGCTGCTGATGACTGTCATGGTGCTTTGGGTGCACCAGCACACCTGGCATGGGTCCCTGAGTTTTGATGGAGCAGGGGGGCAAGCCCAGGCTGCCCCATGACCTCCACCACCAACTGAAGAGCTACCTGTGGCTGCACCACACATCCCTGCCCCCCTGCAGCTGAGAAGGACATGACCACTGGCATCAATGCATTCCTTGGCGTATGAGAGGCCTGTGCCTGCCTAGCTGCAGGGGCATGGGCTGCTCAATAAAGTTTTGCACTTTCTCCTACTTCCCTGTATGCTGGTGTTGGGGCGGGGGACCTGGGGCCTGGGGAGCACTACCTTCCTGGGAAGGGAGAGCAGCAAGGGCAGGGGCTGGGGCAGGGAGGGATCTCCCCCCGGTGCGGGGCTTACCATGTGGCCAGGGCTGGCATGGTGGTGGCTTGGGTCGGTCCCAGCTGGTGGTGATGGCATGCTGCTCTGGGTGGACTCGCTGGATGGGAGGGCACAGCATGCAGGTGCCCAGCCAGGGGACCTCCCAGGGAGGAGCTGGCGCTGCTGACAGCCAGCAGTGACATGGCCAGCCACATCTTGAGGCTGGGGCTGAGGCTGCAGAGCTTTTGGGGCAGGCACTGACTTAGGCTCCCCAAACTGCTGGTGGAGGCTAGAGGCAGGGAGCATTTTGGCAGGCTGGTGGTGCCCCGAGGGGCCCTCCCCTGGTGACATGTCACCACAGGTGCCAGGCCAGGGCAGGGGCTCAGGCAGGCCACAGCCTGAGTTGTGAGGTGCAAGGATGTCTGTCAGCTGCCGCATAAAGCGGATGGACTTGTGGGCACTCCCTAACTGATGATTGTGGTTGGTGATGAAAATCCAGTGTGCCTGCAAGGCCCTGACCTTTATGTAGCACTGCCATGCCAACCAGTTGTGCCTGTGCTTCTGCAACCAGCCTGACAGCCCCTTGTAGACATTGGCAATGGAGCACCTGCCCCATGCAAACTGCCACTGCACCTCCACCTTGAACTATAGCACCACAAGGTCACCAGTCTCCTCTTGCAACCAGTTGCGGCCCCAGGAGGTGGGGTGTGGTGTCAGCAATGACGTCATCTGGGCTTCCGTGCTGGCTCTTCAGGCCTCTGCAAGGCTAGCCCTGTACTGCCAGGCCTCAGCAGTTTCCTGCAGCACCCAGCACAGCAGCACAGCATAGGACTGGCAGCCGCACACCAAGGCAATGCACCACAGCACCTGCAGACTCCACGTAAGCTGCTGGGGGTGGGCTGTGGGCAGCTGAAGCTGACACTGGTGGCCAGGAGCTGCCTACAATTGGGCCTGGGTTCTGGCAGGCCTGGCAGGAGCCTGGACCAGCCTGCAAGCCTGGGTGGTATGGCCCTGGCAGCTGCATGGCACTATAGTGCAGGTGGCCTGCAGCCTGCTCAAGGGCACAAAGGGGCCTGGAGTGACCTCAGGCTGCTTGCTTATACCCCAGGGCTCTGATGCCTGCCGGCTTTTAAGGGCCTGCCAGAGAACTGGCCCAGCCCTGGGGCAGGAGAAGCTTCCAGCCCCGGAGCCCTGGAGCTAGCCTCAGGCTGGCCCCCTAGTGGTGGGGCTGACTAGGAGCAAATTTTCTCCCAGTTGGTGTCTACATGTGCATTATTGTGCAGTAACTACTTGTGAATACATCTGTTACTTGTGTTTGCAGGTAGCTAATTTACTCGTGAGTAGCAATTTCTACTGAACAGCAAGCATGTGCACGTGTAGATGCATACACTTACTGCGCAGTAAACTACGCTACTGTGCAGTAAAGTGACTCATGTAGACTATGACCAAAATCTGGCCCTGTATAGCATTTACTTGTATTCTAGAGACACCTCCAATTATTGAATTAATGGAATTTTAGCCTTTCCAATGCCAAAATAGTTCAAGGTTCACCTAAAGTGTTACAAGCTTTCATTAATCCACTCAAGAAACTCTTATTGGCTTCAACAGAAGTTCACTTGAAAATCAAAAGCATTATATAATCTGTAAATTGAAGGCTAACTTTTGAAAAGGCCTATCTTGCAAGTTTCAATTTTCTTGTTTTGCTCCTTCAGAACTACGTTCCAAGAAATAGTGTCACTTTTAGTCCAGTTATCCAAGTTCTCTGCAGAGGCTCTAAAATTCTTTAGGAAGATCATTATATGAGATGATTACTGCAAAAGTGATAACCTTGTCTTTAAAATAGCTTTAAAAGAAGCTTACTGTCTCTCAATGACTCACATCTTTGACCTCACGTAAGAGAGTGCAAGTCAGTAGCAACCAGCATAGTGAAGGTTGTAGAAGCATTTTACCTTCCACTGGGCATTGTCAGATGCCATTCAGAAAACTTTCGTGAAACTGAAAATTTAAGGCTGTAATTTTACAGGCTGGTTTCTCCCCAGGGATAAATGATGCTGGTTAATCCACTCACTCTGTATCTTTTAAAGTAGTGGTCTCAGCCCTTTCAAACTCGGAGCACCCTCATAACTTTTGTGAATTGAACAGTACCCCATTTCAAAAATGAATTTATTTTAGCACTTACCTGTTTGAAGAGGGGCCATGCCAGGAGGAGGAGCAGCCATGCAGGGAAGAGCCTGTGCTGCTGTGAGTGTGGAAGGAAGAGAAGAGCTTGCATTTATCTCGTTACTGGAGCCTGTGCATACCTCACTTCTCTCCTCTCTCCTGGTGGTACCTTTCAAAGGCTGTAATAACACTCTGGTTGAGAATCACTGTTTTAAAGTAGAAGTTTCAGTGTTCCTGGAATACTCAGAAAGGAGTGCTCTACTGAAGACTTCCTTTGTTGAACTGGGGAGAGCTCTCTTTCAGCATTCCTATGGTGCATAAGACACACAGTCCTAACAGTACCCAGATAATCAATCAATTATTGTGACATTTTTAATCTCATTTTTCCCTTAAAAGCAAACACACTTTTAAAAAAAGTCTTGAAATGTCCCTATGGCAAGAGAGTGTTAAGGTGGCTCTCTCTAAAAACTCAAAATTCAAAGTAAGATTGCACATTTAACCTTAACTCTGATCCCTAAGATAATAAAAGATTTTAGAAAAATCAGTAGAGTCCCCTTTCCCTCCCCACCCCAAGCCTCAGCTGTCTGGTTTGAACTGGGCAAAGAATAAGCCTAAATCATAGTTCTACTTCTTTGATCTTAGTCTGGCTTGGGGCCAAAACACCCTTTTCCATAGTTTAAGGCAAGCCACAGAGGCCTCTATAGTGGCCCAGAATTGGTAGAATACTGTACACTCTTCCCCACCAGAGATGGGAGATGCACCCGTTATGAAGTGGTGGTGTCTTGGCAGTCAAGACAATCTTTGGATGTACTTTTAGATCAAGAACCTGATTGATTGCTTTACTTTGTTCAAGCAGCCATAGTCTGTCCAACAATCTGACCCACAGCTTAATTACATAATTACACACTACAAAATAATATATAAGTACAGAGCCTGGTACAGATCTTCTGTAAAGGAAAGTCAGTTAGTGGAAGTTAGTTGGGGCCCAACAGGGATATGTGATGATTTTTGAAGTTTCTGTTAATCTGCCTTGTCATTAATTGAAAGCAACTCTTCAGAGTAGAAACTTTGAGGAATGAAAGTTGGTCATGGCAATAAGGGCAAATAGCTCTTTGTAGAAGTAGGACATTAAATGAGACATTTTACACAGGAAAACAGGAGCAATGATGGCAGTGTCAAGCCCTAGATCTACATGACTTTCTTCTGGAAATCTAAAGAACTTCAGTTCATTTTGATTACAGTCACTATCACCTTTATCTTGTACATTTTTTAATGTTGATGTCTTCTCTATTATATGTATTAGAGTATAGCAAAGAATAAGTGCAATATATATTCCAGATTTCATTTCTGACAAACATATTCTAATGTAGTACTACATACTGAAATAATTCTTAACCAGTATGAAATGATTGGCTATTAAGGTCAGACTTCATATTAAGGATACATTTATAAACAGTAACCAAGTATACTAAGTGATTAGTAATTGTTTTAAGTAATGGTCAACAAACTGCTACAGATGCCAAGCAGTACAAAAACTATCAGGTTTCTTTGACTAGACTATCTATAACTCATGTTTTGATGATTTACGAGACATTTTACTTCTATTTGTAAGTCTGAAAACATCTGTTCACTATTTACTATTACTGTAAACACTGTTTATACACATATCTTTGAAATAAACTGACCTCATTATGGCAATAAAGTTTGATTATTTTGAATGTTTGTATCTTCCACATGGAAAAAGAGTTGTGTATAAAATTTGAATTCTTTCTTTCTTATAACGTATCTGCAAGATTTAAACGGAATATAAAAAATTCACATCTACTTTCCCAAGTAGTTCCTTTTGTAAATGTTAGTAGTTGGAGAGATCATTAGTGATTGAAATAATCAGCAAAATGAGTTCATTACATAATGAAAAGGAAAATCTAAGCAATTTGTTTTAATTTACATAAACAAATATGTTCATATTCCCTAAGAAATGCCTGGAAAGGGATGAAATGTTTGAAAACCTCATTGCTCTGTGTCATAAACCAAACACTAACTAATGGGTATTTGGAAGAAACTTTCCCATACCACCTGTATTGGCCATTCACACAATTCTAGAATAGAGCACTGTTTTTGTTCATTATGCTAATACTTAAGTTCCTACTTTTTCCTTTTTTGGTTTTGTTTTGTTTTAGAATAAATCTTTGAAACTGTGCCTAAGTGGTTCTCGAGCTCCGGTCTGTGGACAGCTACTGTTATCTAATTCATTAACTGGTGGTGTGTGGACTGGGATCTAGTCATATGTTGCTAGCTTTCCTTGTCTGAAGCTGACAGAAACAACTATCCCATCTGGCTGTGGGCCGTCTGCCTCGCACCCACTGCTGCGGGGCTAGACAGAGCAGGCAGGGGAAGAGAGGGTGGGACTCCATGGGGACCAGCTCAGGGATGAGGCAGTGGGAAGGTGGGGAGTGGCATCCAGGAGCAGGGTGGACAGGCTGGGATCACGGGGCGGTGACAGTGTGGGGACCAAAGTAAGGGCAGAGCTGTAATCTGCTCCCTGCATTGCATGTCCCTGCAATGAGTGCCAATTCCATAAGTAGGAACATGTAGAGAGTGAATTGCGCTGTGCCCTGGGCCTGCATTGTCACTGCCCCACAATTCTGGCCCCAGCTCCAGTCTCCACTCACCTGTCCCACTTCTAGACACCACTCCTTGTCTGCCCGCAGCCCTTTCCCATCTGCCCAGCTGAGCATGCCCTGTCTCCACGAAGAACCTGTCTGCCTGCTCCATCCAGCATCCCTGGTGATGGGTGCAGGGTGGACTGGCAGCAGCAGCTGGGCAGAGCAAGCCATTGCCAGGAAGCCAAGTCCAGCTGCCATTCTGTGCTGCCCCTGTCCACTGTGTGCCTGGAGGTGGTGGGACCAGCCACATGTGCCACAGCCTGGGCTGCCTCCTCTGCCTGGGCTGGGTGGGGCCATATACAATTCCTTGGTGGGTCAGATCCAGCCCACAGGCCATATTTTGCCCACCCCTATATTAGGGGGTCTACAAAAAAGTACTTTTATTGATAGTTCATACTAAGGAAAAAATTAGAAACGTGGACCACAAAATGCTAATAGCAATTTTAAAAATAGGTATACTTCATTAGGACAAGGAAACATCCACACAGTAGCAATACAGGCACCATGTAGTGCCAGCAAATACTACACAAAGGAAATCTTTATTAGTAGTTAAAAATCACAACTGGGAGATTGTGAGAAGACTTGAATGTGTCAAAATGAAAGATTAGTTTCAAGCTTATACATGGACTGTAAAATAGGTGCTCACATAGCAGTAATTTAGCCCAAAGAATAACAGATAACTTCTGCAGATGAAAGATTTTGAAAGTTTCAATGTTCCATTTTTCAGTCTTCAGAAGGAACATTAGTAATTTAAAAATTGATTGTGTTTTAATGATTCTGACGTAATGATGATTAATAAAAAATCTGCATTTCTTGGAGCATGAATGTTGGGCATTTAATTTGATTACTGTAACTATTTTTCTGGGTGAGAAACAATCTCTGTGGCTGCATCCCCATGAGTAGGGGCATGCGGTTGTTGCAGGGAAAAAAGCAACAGCATAAATTCATGCCGCTGCTTTTTGCCCTGGCACACACCACACCCCTGAATGTGGGGTTAGAGCGGGAAAAATTGCTCTGGGTGGAGGAGGGAGGGGCAGCACCTGGGCTGGCCCCAGAAGGGGCCTCCTGGGGCTCCACTGGCTGCGATCTGGATGTGTGGAGCCTGGCCAGCAACTGAAGAAGGGCTCTGTCTGGCCAGGCTCCAGTTTCAGGCAGCGCATGCTGCCACCATGTGCACCACCTCACTTTCTGCTTGAGTGGGTTTTTTTTACACTGGGGTCTTCTGATGTCAAACAAACCTGCCACATTGCAAATTAACAGCACAGTGAATGCCTGCACCTGTGGCGCATGCAGTTTGCAGTGCCACAAACTGCACATGCATGCTAGTCTGGATGTGCCCAGTGGGGTTATGCAGGATATCAGACTTGTAGCATCATGGCTTAGTTTTTATTTATGCTTTTAGCTAGTTATGCATAACATATATAGTTTTTCCTAATTTGTTGTTGTTTAGTTGTTCCCTTCTAATTCTCTGTATTGACTGTCATACTTAAAAGTAAATTTTAAAATGTACTGACATTGGTTTTTGAACAGTTAAGTGTTCACTAAAATCCCATTTGAGTTACCTATTCTCTGCAGCAAAAGTTCCTGGGCTTGCTTGAGATATAACATACAGCTTTGCCTGCACCAGCAGTCAAGAAGGTCTGAGAAAGGATTATGACTTTTTGAGTAATGCATTACAGTCTTATGGTGTGCATCTTTATTTGCTTTCTGGAGGAGGTTGGCTGTACTGGCTGGAGTGTTGGTGGATGAGGCTCACACCTGGGGGACAAATCAGGCACAAAGAACCAGAACTCATCCAGAGTCTGGAGCCACTATGTAGAAGCCCTACTTACTGTAGCAGTGCAAAAAGTTGTTCTGCTTGTTGACCCCAGCACAGCAGCATTAGGGAAAGTCCCAAACTGTCTCTGAGAGGAGGATGAAGTACTCTATTATGGACTTAACACTGGCACTTAAAATCAGTTTTCAGGAAAAAGTCACTGTAGAGTAAGTAAACACAGCTAAAGGGAAAAGAGCAATAAGAGGTGGTAAATGGGAATGAATTCAAAATGTGGATTATATGCCATATTTTACAGGAAATGTATCCATGGTGACCTATATCTACTATACAGCTGTCGATAAGTAACTTCTTTAGATTCTACTGCTGTCTACCAGTACTGGCAGGGGTGGGTCTGGTTTTAGTGGAACCTCTGTAACTCCTGCTCACTGCACTGCCCTGCTGTTCTTGAGGGGAAGGTATGTTCTGAGCCCAGTACTCACCTGCATTAACAAGTGCACCAACACACTAGCCATTTCCCCTCCTGGAAAGTGAGGCTGAAGGAAGAGCAGAGCTACTTGTAGCTTCCGGGTTGCAGAACCTACCATGAAGTGAGTCTACTGCCATTTTATGCCTACAAGGAATATACCCTTCCCATAC